AATTTTTGCCCGATTCAAAAACTATACATCAAATTGATGGTAATGAGTCGGAGAATGTGAAAATAACAATAACTCAATTTTCAAAATTTCCTCATTGCGACTCAGTATGCCATGGGGGGTCACATATAACAAATAACCAATACAGGGTTCATATTCTTTAATTTTCTCCAGGCGAAGTAAAAGTGAGGAATAGTATGAAACGAAATAATAATTGTATTGTGTTTATTCACTATTAACTACAGTTTTTAAAAACCTACGTTAATGTGTGAAATTAAAACACAGTCTTACAAATAAATTAAATTTTTATTAACCGAACAATTACATTCAGATGGAAATCCACATTCCGCTGCAATTGTTGTCCCAGTTGGTCTAAAATTCTTTGCTGTAAATTGTTCAGGTAATCCAACAAGACCGACAGCTTCCCTAAGGATGTTTGATATACCTGTACTGTTCAACGGAGTATACGGTTTACTTAATGTCAAGAACACAGAATTATACTGAACTGTGTCCCTTATATTATCTGTATATGTGATATAGTCTTTTAACGTTAAAATAATGCAAACTTTTTCCACAGAGCAAGGCTGTATGAGGATAGCAAAACCAGACCTACTGGTATCATTTTTAATGCCAAATAAAGTCATTGTGTAGAAATTCAACATGATCTGTAGAAAATATTTGTTTATGTTTTGAACATAAGCGGGGAGTGATAACGTCTTACCCCAAACAAATTGCAAAAGAAACCAGGAAGTTTCGGAGAGCAATATCTCGTATCACATGACCCTGATGAAACATGTGCCCGAAACACATGTCGCTCTTAGAGCAGTATGGCTCTAGACACATCTTATTTAAATTACACTGATTTTACATTACTGTGATTTGAATACGTGCAATCAGGGCTCACACTGTATTTCATTCTTTTCCGTCAAAATGGATAATAATTTTTATACAAAAAAAAATGTTCATATTTTTTTTACCGCCAACTGAGATATTTTATCTGCCAAAAATGTCTGATGGGATTCTGCACATGCTATCACACAACATGACGGTCTTGTCACCTTTTAATAACCCTTGGTCTACCAGTTCGGGGGCGATTATTCGTGGTGTTGGTGGCCCGAAAGCGTTGCTGACATCTGTGGAACTCCGAACATTGACCTGAAAGTGATTGGCAACGGCTTGGGCAGTGTGGCCAATGTCGAATCTTCCAAGCACCTGGTTTCTCTTAGCTGTCTTGAGTTGTGGCCTGCTGCTGACGTAGTGTGAATAATTCAACCAGTTAGGGGGTGCTTTTTATAAGATAGGTTGCCAGGCAACAAAACATACGCCCACAGCAGCTAAATCGTCCGAGCGGTCGTCAAGGGTTGTCCTTTGTAGGTAATTGGGGGCCTTTATAAGACAGTTCCATACAGATCACATTGTAAATTTTGTCGTTTGAGGGTTTACAAGGTTCTACAAACTGAAACAAGGGTCTCAACTCTGGAAGTAATCTACAGAAATTGTTGAAATTTGACAGGCTTTTTCGTTTTACTAATTTAAATAATGCATGATCACTTTTGTCATTCAAACATACACAAACGCCATAACTCTAGAAATTATTGATGGAAATTGCTGAAATTCAATAGACCTGTTTCACAATTTTAAATGATGCATATAAATTTCATACATATCGGATGATAACTTTCATCAATCGAGCATTAACAAGGTTTAACAAAGTGAAACAAGGGCAATAACTCTAGAAGTAATTATTGTAAATTGCTGAAATTCAATAGGCTTTCTCGTTTCACTAATTTAAATCATGCATATAAATTTCACAAAGATCACAAGGATCAATTTGTGAAACAGGGGCCATAACTCTAGACGTAATAAACGGAAATAGCTGAAATTCATTAGGATTCTCCGTTTCACTAATCTAAAGAATGCATATAAATTTCACAAAGATCGATTGATAACTTTTGGCGTTGGAGCGTTCACAAGGTTCAATAAAGTGAAACAAGGGCCATAACTCTAGACATAATAAACGAAAATTCAATAGGCTTCTTCGTCTCACTAATCTAAATAATGCATATAATTTTCAGAAAATCGGATGATAACTTTTGACATTAGAGCGTTCACAAGGATCAATAATGAGAAACAAGGGTCATAACTCTAGACGTAATAAACGGAAATTGCTGAAATTCAATAGGCTTCTTCGTTTCAGTAATCTAAATAATGCATATAAATTTCAGAAAGATCAGATGATAACTTTTGACGTTAGAGCGCTCACAAGGATCAATAAAGTGAAACAAGGGCCATAACTCTAGACGTAATAAACGGGAATTGCTGAAATTCAATAGGCTTCTTCATTTTAGCAATCTAAATAATGCATATAAATTTAACAAATATCGGATGATAACTTTTGACGTTAGAGCGTTCACAAGGATCAATAAAGTAAAACAAGGGCCATAACTCTAGACGTAATAAACTGAAATTGCCAAAATTCAATAGGCTTCTTCGTTTCAATAATCTAAATAATGCATATAAATTTCAGAAAGATCGGATGATAACTTTTGGCATTAGACCATTCACAAGGTTCAACAAAGTGAAACAAGGGCCATAACTCTAGACGTAATAAACGGAATTTATTGAAATTAAATAGGCTTCTTCATCTCACTAATGTAAACAACATATATCAATTTTAAAACAATTGGATGATAACTTTTGGCGTTAGAGCGTTCACAAGAAATTGTGGACGATGGACGGACGAACCGACGGACGGAACGACAGCCGTTAGAGCGTCGGATTTCAAAATTTTTCTTGTCGGACATTTTTACCAAAAATAAAGGGACATAACTTTTATCGTTATTTAAAATGGCAGTTTTTAGACCACATACAAAAATCACGTGTAAACAAAATATTCAAATTTGTCCGTAATATAAAAATAGGTGCACCTCGTTATTTTTCATATTTAATTCCCGTACGGTATTCAAATTTATGTCAATAATATTCCTACAAAATTCGTAATACGATAGAATGAAAGCGTGCCGACTACTGCCGATCTGTACTGTTTCAAATTCCTCCAAAATTACAGTATTTTCGGGTCATAAGTCGCTACATTTTTCAGCAAAAATCCGGCATTCGTCTTAAACTCCGTTACGACTTATGTACAGAGGGTAAGAATATGATATCCCGAGGAATGACACCATCCGCTAAATAATCGCTAGCACGCGCTATCGTCTAAAACAATTAAGTACCTACACTATTTCAATCGACATATTCGTCAACATTGCCTAGGTTACTTATTTCTTTATTTAAAAACATAAACCCCATTCAAAATATGATCGTAAATCCAAGAATATGCCACCAAAATAGAATCTTTTCTTCGACATTAGAAGCGTTAATTTAGTCATGTATTCATTTCATAATTTCACGCGTCTCGCGAGATTTCTAATAACGGTATAGCACTCGGCAAACCTCGGTAGATTCCGTTACTCTACAAACAGCCCCGCTGTATGACGGTACGTGATATGTACCTAATCAGATTTTCTTCAAATAAGGACAACTTTGCTCTGAAAATTATAAACACGCTTCGAACGACCCAATTTTGATAACTTCTTTCTAAAACCGGCAAGTTCGTAGGTACATATCACTTACCGTCATGCAGCCGAAGCTAGATGTAGAGTAACGGAATCTGCCGAGGTTTCCCGAGTGCTGTAAAAGCGTGCTATAAATGTCTAATATTTTTCGGATATATGTGTGTGTGAAATAGCTTTATTTAACGCTCGCTTCCACCGAAGTAATATAGCAGACGAATTATAATGACTGTCTATTGATCTGGGCGTTATATACTTCTATGACTAGTTTATACATATTGTCGGCTCACATCAATGCGATTAAAATGTCCATCAATGCGCAGAAACCACGAGGTTAACAAACGAGGATTAAAATTATAATGGATTGATGAATAGTCCGACAAAGGTGAAACAATGGCTTCCGTTTAAGATTAGATTGATGAATTGTCCGACAAAGGATTAAGTCAGTCAATCAAGGCAGATTAAGTAGTTAATCAAGGTAGGTTTATAGACCGTCTAACAAGATAAATACGTTGATCACTTAATTACCTAATCAATCCAGCGTATTATCGACGATAATCTGGTTGAGTGGTTGTTATACACTCAGTAAACTATATTAATTTCGGAATTTTGAATATTATTCACCGTGTCTTGATGTCCGATTGGGCATATTCCCGGTCGGACAATTTTGGGCGTTTGGAAAAAAGATTCGGACAAGTCCGGAATATACGGGCAAAATCCCATCACTGGTTGTAACGCATATTTAAATAATGTAATATGAATGTATATAAACTGATTTACATTCAATCATTTCCATTTTTACTCTAATTTCAAATCATTTATGTTCGGCGAAATATGCCAGAAGTTTCAATCGAATGAAAATCTCTAGCGTCTTGTTATTCTAGTCTACATAGTATTTATTGCGCATACTCTCCCGATATGAATATGCCGTCACCGTTTGACATGACTTGTTGAATATGTCTAGCCTCGTTCTTCGAGTCCCTTCTTAAAATGGGCCTGAAATGCATTATGGTACACGATTCGTGTACCAATGGTAAAATGTTTATTTTGTCTTAAATATTGGATATCAGAAGCCCATCTTTTCCCGGTAAGATCACAACATCAATGTTGATTTAAATTGAAAAATAATTTGTGTTTTCATTGTCGAAGATTTCGGATGATATTGAGTTAGAGACTTGGCTAATTTAAGGCCCATCTGAGTAATCTTTTTTTGGTCAATTGTGAAGACAATGGTCCTGACCAGTATATGGTCGAGTTGGGACCTATGCGTTAAGATGATGAATAAAATATCATGAAATTCTATTAAAATATCCAATATATCATATCAAAAGTAAAATTTTTAAATAGAACCTCAGTTCATACATTGGATATCCATTCCATACTAGATTTATTTTCGAAATAAGAGCCGTTTCACAATGCATGCCACAAATTTACCTCATATGATGGTCGATCCCTTATTCGCTCCCATTTCGGCTTTCCAGGAAGAGTTCGAGTAAATGGACTATGACCTTGACTATATAGTTTTCCTTGACGGTTTAAGTTCATAATATTGATCTTGATAACTTTGTTGGGTACCCAGCCTCGTATTCCAAAATAAAACCATGATCTAAAATACAATCATTTAAGTTTTATTTAATATGAAGTATGAAGATAAACCAATTCAATCACAAACAAGCCAACAGTGAGGCTGATGTCCCCCGCCGAAATCCCAAAATAAATAGATGACACACATTAATTAATCGCACATTTATTTTTTTTTTTTCAAAAGCACCAAGCAATCAAACTATACACTAAGTTACATCACTCTCTATCAAGATAGAATGAAGATTAACTTGTCCAAAAGCATTGACCAATGAAATTGATTAGCTCTGCTTAGCTTCAGCTCGAAATGTTAATCATTGAACTCAGTCAAGACATTCACCAAATGAACATCTACATCAAGTTTAAACATTCTACTTCAATTAAAAGCAGAGTTGTTATGTTTGAAAGTCTTGACCAATCAAATTTCTTATCGGTCATTAGCCTAAGCAGAAAAATTCTCACCATCGAAATTAGTCAAGGTAATGATATAATGAATCTATATTCGGAGTTCCATCGCTCTCACTTCATTATAACCAAAGTTATCGTGCCTCAAAGCATCAACCGATCAGATTGCTTATTTCTACTTACCATAAGCAGACAATGTTGATCATCGAACTCCATCAAGGCATTCACCTAATGAACGACTACACCAAGTTTAAACATTCTACATCAATTAGGAGAGTTATTGTGTTCCAAAGTCTCGACCAATCAAATTGCTTATCGCTCTAATGATGTATAGCTTGTCCTCACTCTCACTTAATTAGAACTAAAGTTATTGTGTCTCATGTATATCAACCAATCAAATTGCTCATCTCTGCTTACCCTTAGCCGAAAATGCTCATCTTTGAACTCCATCAAGGCATTCACCTAATAGACACCTATGTCAAGTGTGAACATTCTAACTCAATTAGAATGTGAGTTATTGTGTTCCAAATTCTCGACCAATCAAATTGCTTATCGCTCTGCTTACCCTGAACAGAAAATGCTCATTATCAAACTTAGTCAAGGTATTGATGTAATAAAACTATACACTAAGTTTCATCACTCACTTAATTAGAACTAAAGTTATTGTGTCCAAAAGCATCAACCAATCAAATTGCTTATCTCTGCTTACCCTAAATAGAAAATGCCTATCTTTGAACTCCATCAATTTTAAGGCATTGCCCTAATAAACACCTACACCAAGATTGAAGATTCTAGCTCAATTAGAAGGAAGGAGAGTAAATGTGTTCCAAGGTCTCAACCAATCAAATTGCTTATAGCTCTACTAATTTTAAACATATTTTATTGTTCAATAAACAACTGAATAAGACACAAGTTTTACAACTTATAAAAGTCTTTCCCAATACATATATACACTTGTCTACGATATCACCTTAGGTGGAAGTGGACGTAAAACCCCAGAAACGAACGAACGAACATATATACATATTACATAAATGAACTTAAAGGAGCTAAATCGCTAACATTTGGGACCTAGAAATTGACAAAAGTGGGTCTCAACGCATATAATACTGTAATATGAATGTATATAAACTGATTTACATTCAATGGTTTCCGTTTTTACTCCAATTTCAAATCAGTTATGTTCGGCGAAATAAGCCAGCAGTCTCAAGCGAGTGCAAATTTCTAGCGTCTGGTTATTCCAGTCTACATACGCCATTTGATTTGGTGCAATGTGTCTAGCCTCGTCCCTCGAGTCTCTTGATACAACTGGGGCTGAAGCGCATTATGGTACACGATTCGTGTACCAATGGTAAAATGTTTATTTTGTCTTAAATATTGGATATCAAAAGCCCATCTTTTTCCGGTAAGATTACAACGTGAATGTTGATTTAATTTGACAAATAAATCGTATTTTCAATGTTGAAGATTTTGGATGATATTGAGTTAGAGACTTAGCTTCTTTAAATAAGCGGAAAATGCTCATCTTCGAACTCCATCAAGGCATTGACCTAATCAACACATACACTAAGTTTGAACATTCTAGCCCAATTAGGAAGAGAGTTATCGTGTCCCAAAGCATCAACCAATCAAATTGCTTATCTCTGCTTACCCTAAGCGGAAAATGCTCATCTTCGAACTCCATCAAGGCATTGACCTAATAAACACATACACCAAGTTTGAACATTCTAGCTCAATTAGGAAGAGAGTTATTGTGTCCCAAAAAGTGTGACGGACAGACAGACGGACGGACAGACAGACAGACGGACGAACCCATTTTAATAGTCCCCTGCTTTCTTCGAAAGGCGGGGGACAATAAAACACTAGGTAAATAAAAAGATAACCATGCAAAGTGTGTATTACGCACCCCCCCCCTCCAAATGCAGCTTATTCAAAAGGAAAAATTGGATGTTGGGCAAATTTGATAAGGATCTAGGATTCTTGAAGAAATCTTATCTGTATAGGGTTTATCCTCTTATGACCTCATTGCTTCCAACTAAATTTGAAAAAAAAAAATATCTATCATGTTCACAAGGTTTTCGGCATAGAGGGGTTAACTCAGGAACGGAAAGCTGCAGATTATGAATATCAATAGGCATCAATGACCCCAATGCTACAAGCCAAATATGAAAAAGATCCATTAAAAATGAAATAAAATAAGTGTTTAAATGTTCTACTCTGACTGGGTTAATGAAGACATGCATAAGCTATACAGCAGGGATGTCACTAACTTTTCAAGTAACAGGAAATTTTGCAAAAGTAGGAGGCAGAAAATGTTGAGGGCCGGAGGCCTGAATATGCGAGCAACCCGAACGGTTGCGAGTGCGTTATGGATCAAGGCCTTAAAGGGTGTTGCCCCGTGTTTTTTTTCCAGAAAATTAGGCCTAAAAAAATAAAACTTGTGGTGCATGCTGAACATTTATATTGTAGATTATTAAATACCTGTATGCTAAGGAGATGACTGTAATAAAATAAGCTTTTGCTTGTTTTCATATCCCATATTTGTTAATATGTGAATTCATGACCAATATATTAAAAATAACTGAAACTAGACCTGCAAGCAGCACTGAACCGGCTTTCAGGAATCAGACAGGAAGTGTGTCATACAATAGCCTATTCATCGAGCTACCAAACGATCTTTAGGTGTTTTAATCCGGTCACACCCGACCGTGAAATCACGATTTTTGCAAGAGCACCGATTTTTACTGGGTTTTTTTAATATCGAATATTTTTATGACTACGGTTTCACCAGTGCCACGTTACCCTAAACATATGTCACTTCCGGTACCAATGAAACCATTAAACTGGTTTCCACATAAACATTGCACACATCAAATAAAATGGACGCCGAATCAACCAAATCCAGCAATATCAATTCATTTTATGCTGTTTTTTAAAATCAGATAATGACTGTGACCTTCAGAGGGACCACAAGCTAAAAAAAACGTTTTTCCGTATTATCAGGGACCATAATTCAGGAAGTTACGATCCGATATGCAACAATATCGAAAGAAACCAAGATTTTTAGGTTATAAATATGCATTTCAAGTTTCATCAAAATGGAATTAAAATTGCGACCTCTACAGGGTTCACATACTTGATTAACCATATTTTTACACTATTCGAGTACAAACGGCGGCCATTTTGTCCGGCAATTTTGGTCCGATTTTCACAAAATTCTAACTCAGCCTTTCTTAGGGTGTAACGGTGATATAATAAAACGATTTTTTAAATCGGATAAAAATTATGACCTCTATAGGGTCCACAAGCTAAACGCAATTTTTTGTACAATCAGGGGACATAATTCAGGAAGTTACGGTCCGATGTGCGTGAATTTTGTGAAAGGAACCGAGATCTTTGGGTTATAAGCATACATTTCAAGTTTAAACCAAATCAGATAAAAATTGTGACCTCTACAGTGTTCACAAGGTAAAAACGTGATTTTTCGTACAATCAGGGGCCATAATCCATGAAGTTACGGTCCGATACATGCCAATATCGAAAGGAACCGAGATCTTAGGGTGATAAACCTATATTTCAAGTTTCATTGAAATCGGATAAAAATTGTAACCTGTAGACTGTTCACAAGCAATTGTGGACGGATCGAAGGAACAGGGGCGACGACAATATACGTCCACATGAAAATGTGGGCGTATAAAAACAAATTATTTGTGGTGCATCTAAATAATTCTCTAAAACTTTTAAAAGAAGACTAGGTAGGTACCCATACGACAGTAGGCTAAGGTACATGTAGGCCTAGGGTGGCACTAATGCTAGGATTTTGACTGGAAGAATTGTTTTGTTTTTACAATGTAGGTCTACTTTACATTTGAACATTTTCATTATTCCTCCAAATGTAGACTATCGTGGAGCAACTCCCCTTTTTTTATTCGTATATTTTCGTCAACAACATCAAATCTAGGCCTATTAAATTTAATAAAGCCTTCACCCTGTGTTTGTCGGCCTAGATTCAATTTGTTTTTTTACTGGCTAACAAATAAAATTTGGAGTTAAATACATGTATTTTCCCAAAATTACAATGAATTAAACATATAAATAATTAGTATGAAAACCGATATATAATGATAAAATATTGAATAAATTGCCTTTGTAACAATCGGGTATCAGACTGATGGACTGTACGGCCATTTTATTGACTTACCACGGCACTAATCTCAAACGAAATGTTGTAAATCGTAAACGGAAATTCCAGAATTTTAGCCATTATTTAAATTATTTTTTGTTGGTGTTAATTCTTTTGCCATTCCAACTTTATTTGGGTATTACAATGGTCAAAAATCATGTTATTATTATCCGTAAGTCTGTTCCTTTAGACGAATACAAGTCGCAACCGGAAATGGTTCTCCCATACCGTGTTGATATTTTTTCCGATTTCATTTTCATGCACATTAAATACTTCAAATTAGGCATGAACAACAGAGAATTAAGTAATTCAGAACATTGAAATATTTGTCTATGTTTGGCAATTTTTTAACGGTTGAAAAATATTTGGTGTTAAACGTAAAGGCGTGTGTAATAGGAGCTGAGAGGAAATTTCCCTTCGATAAAAGCGCGCGAATA